TTGTTCACACCGGGACGAATATCGCGCGCGATTATCGCCGACGTTTAACTGACTAAACAAAGGGTGCCAATGTGAGTTGGCGCAAAACGCAAGGCGTAATTTTTTTGTTTGACGCGCCGCGTTAAAAACTGGCCGACCAATGAGATTGCCGCGTGAGACGGAGCCTAAAGGCTTGTTCACACCGGGACGAATATCGCGCGCGATTATCGCCGACGTTTAACGCCTCGTGACTAAACAAAGGGTGCCAATGTGAGTTGGCGCAAAACGCAAGGCGTAATTTTTTAGTTTGACGCGCCGCGTTAAAAACTGGCCGACCAATGAGATTGCCGCTTTTGTTCACGTGCCTGGAGCTACTGAAGTTACAGTAAAACACCACTTGGTGGCGCTCAAGCACAAAACGGTCTTGCCGAGCACACATTGATGTGTAACGACGAAGAGGAAGTAAGTAGACGAAGAAGATGCATCGAGGCAAGATGAACGTAGAGCTGCTGGTCTCATTGGTGTCTGAACACAAAGGGCTTTAGGACAAACGCGACAGCGACTACAAAAATCTCGATAAGAGGGAGTTGTTTTGGAGAGGAATTGCAGATCAAATAGGATTCGATGTGTACCGGGGTATTTCTGGTATTCATTAAGCGCCATCTAATGTCAGGGAGTGAATTTGCACGTTCACTCGGCTCATCGCCAGCGAAAATAGCTTGGGTATGAACACAAACGTGTCGAAAAACGTCGGCGATAAACACGCGCGATAATCGTCCCGGTGTGTACAAGGCTTAAAAGCGCGTCTCGCGCCAAATGCATGAGAGTTGGCAATAGGGCTGCTCGATTATGACAAAAATCATAATCACGATTGTTTTGGTCAATATTGTAATCACGATTATTTAACATGATTATTAGTGGGCCATATGACCAAAACGTTTTACGAGTGATTTATTTAAAGATGGTGATGCATATCAAATATATATTTCCTGTAAATAAGGTTGCTATGACATCTACATTAATGTCACAATTCTCAATACCACAGCAGAATACTAGAACTAACTGATATTAGTTAAAAACAACAACAACAACAAAAGGTCCTTAAACGGCCAGTAATAAACAAGCAAAGGAATGCAATAGAATAAAAAAGATACAAATGAAACAAACTGTGCTTTAAGTTTTTTTTTATGCAAGCAGTTAACAGCCTACTACAGAAATGAATAATCAAATGTAAAATAAAACAGCATAGTCTTCACTGTAAGAATTACACTTCCTTTGTTTCTTATTCAGTCGAGAGCAGTGAGTGATTTAGTCTTTGTCTTTTGTTGTTTGATTAATATTAAGCACACAGTCGGCAGCCAGAATATTAGGCTGCTGTCACTTTAAGAGCTGCACGGATCTAATTTACTGTTACACTAGTATCTTCATTCTCAACTCCTTACGTTCATTTATTACATAACCGATGAGGGTTTACGTGAATAATCACTAAGCGCCGCATTTTGACACATTTTTGCGTGTAAAAGATGACTTTACGTGTCGGTGTTGTGTTCCGTCTCTGAGCGAACGCACAGAAATCCTCCCGAGCAGCAGCGCAAGTTCTCTTTCACGCTTTTAAAAACATGAATAAATCAAATCAACTTTAATAACTCAAGCACGTCCCATTTTGCAATAGTCTCGCTGATTTGCACGTGAAACCGCTGGAAAGGGGTGCAATAATCGTTTGTATTTTCATAACCGAAATCGAAACCGAAAGGGAATGTGGATTAATTGTCCCGTGTAGAATCGCCGCTCAGCTCCCTGTTGTTGTGTGTTCTGGCAGCGACGGAGGAGCTGAACCGGCTGGTGTCGGAGGCCTTCCTGAGCGTCTTCGTCCAGAGCGTGGGGCACTTCTCGCAGCACGTCAGGAGGAGCGCGAGCTCGCGCCGGTTCCACAAGAAGAGCTTCCTGAAGGCCGTGGAGCACAGGTCGCACCTGAACTTCGTCAAGCTCTTCATCCAGACGCAGATGTTCGATCTGTTCATTCAGGAAGAGGAAGCGCAGCCCAACCCTAACGGTACAAACACACACTCCAGTTTAAGAAGCTCTAACTCACGCTTCCAGTCAGAACTGTCTGGAGAACCTCTTGAGCGCAAGGCGTTCCTCAAAGGTTCTTCAAACACATCTATGAAGCTTTTTTCTTTTTCTTTATGGAACCTAAATGAAGACTCTTTTGATTGAAATCATGTGTTTTTAGGCTACATCATCTCAGCTAACAGGGAACGTTCTCTGAACTTTGGCTAACGTTCTGGCGACGTTATGAACACATGTGACCCTGGACCACAAAACCAGTCATAAGAGTAAATTTTTTGCTGAATAAATGCGCTTTCCATTGATGTATGGTTTGTTAGGATAGGACAATATTTGAAAATCTGGAATCTGAGGGTGCAAAAAAATCTAAATATTGAGAAAATCATCTTTAAAGTTGTTCAAATGAAGTTCTTAGCAATGCATATTACTAATCAAA